AGGAAAGAAGAGGGAGAGGTGGGTCAGCTGTCTCCTGCATGCCCCTCCCTGGGGATGGAGCCCACAACCCTGACATGTGCACCAACCTAGAATGGAACCCTCACCTGCCAGTTCCTAGGACTATGCTCAATAAGTGAGCAACGCTGGTACGGCACAAGAGATTAAATTTGTTATTATGATTCAGGTTTTGTTTTACTTATTATATATTGTGTTTAGTATATTTTCTTATAGTTTAAGGGCATATAATATACCTTCAGTAATATTAATAGCTGTGATACATATATGTTAGCTTGACAAAATCCTATTATTATTATTAATTACTGCTACTATTAGCAGTAACATTCATTAGATAGGCCACACCAGTGTTTTCGGATGGCTGACTATTTATGATGTTTGGGCTGTTCATTTTTGAAAAGTCTAATTTCTATTGTAGATGAAGGAAGTGTAAGAAACAGACACAGATGTCCAACCATGGGTAGGCAACTGATAACATAAGATACCTTCCAACACTGTGGGAGAGAAATTTTAATTAATATATTTTCAACAAAATATATTGATAGTAAGTTGTGATCTTTGAAGTCTTTCTGTTCTGGGAGTACATTGTCAAATGAATGTTATTAATTTAGTAGTCTCTATAATCTCATTAAAGGGCCATCCTATCTAATAATAGACAAACATGGTAATTGACCATACCTTCGCTATGCCTCCCATTGGCTAATCAGCACAATATGCAAATTAACCACCAACAAAGATGATGGCTACTTTGCATACTGCAGGTAGGGCGGGACAGCGTGAACCGCCAGCGCACCGCCATCCAAGGCAGGCCGGCTGCCCTGGTACCCGAGATCAGCGGGTCCCGGGGTGGCAAGGCACGCCCTCCCCAGAAAGCCCCAGGAGCCGACCGTGCCTTGCCGCCCCAGGAACCGAGATCGGTGGGTCCCAGGGCAGCAAGGCACGCTTGCCCCAGAAGCCACCTGAAAGTCAGTGGCATAAATGTACCAATTAAAAGAGATTATGAGGGTGAATCTAAAACAAAATCCACTTTAAATATAAAGACACATATAGATTAAACGTAAAGGAATTAAGCTGCAGCCTGTTTTGCCAAGTGGATAGAACATTTGGCGTGGACTGAAGGGTCCCAGGTTCAATTCCAGTCAACGGCATGTACCTCAGTTGCTGGATTGATCCCCAATCCCTATCAAAGCATGTACAGGAGGCAACCAATCAATGTGTCTCTCCCTTTCCCTTCACTCTCTCTAAAATTCAATGGAAAAATATCCTTGGGTGAAGATTAACAAAATCAAAGTAAATGGATTAAGTAACATTAAAGAGATTATAAGAAAAATATATTCCAAATTTTGTTAGTTGTATAATGGTTATGTTTAAATTATTAACACCTAAGAAATTGGGTGAAGGGTACATATAATATGCTGTAGTATTTTATAGTTTTTTTTACATGTATGAGATTATTTCAAATTAAAATATTAAAAAATTAAAAATTAATAAAATATTAATTGAAATGTATCTGCATTACATGAAAAATCTCCTAATTGCTTCTAGCATAATTTATTAAATTGTGCTAAAATTTACAAGGGTTCAATTAAAAAATATCTTAATTCTAAATGATATAATAGAAAATATATAATAGTGCAGTTATAAGCACTTATCTGAAAATAAAAATTTAAAGAAGTGAATTTAAAGAAGGGATTAGCCAAAGAAAATATATGCACAACCCATGGACACAGACAACAGTATGGTGATGGCCAGAGAGAAGTGGGGGGGCAAGAGCTGGGTAGAGGGGGCAAAAGGGGGAAGTAGGGACATCCTATATAATAATAATAAAAGGCTAATATGCACATTGACTGAATGGCAGAATGACCAGTTGCTATGATACGCACTGGCCACCAGGGGACAGACAATGCAGGAGCTGCCCCTTCGTGGACAATGCACTTCCATATGGGGAGTGTCACTCAGCCAGAAGGAGCCTCACCCACCTTCGTGGCAGCACTAACAATGTCCAAATAACGGTTTAGACCCGATCCCTTGGGGGCCTAAGCCTTTAGTCAGATATCCCCCGAGGGCTCCCTGACTGCCAGAAGGATGTCTGACTGCAAGCTTAGGCCTGTTCCCCCCGGGAGTGGGCCTAAGTTGACAGGTGGACATCCCCCAAGGGGTCCTGGAATGTGAATGGGAGCAGCCGGGCTAAGGGACCCTCCTCTCTGAGTGCACACATTTTTGTGCACCAGGCCTCTAATTAATAATAATGAAGAATGTCTCCTTCTACTTTTTCTCCGAAAACAAATTTCTGGGGAATGATAAACTATTTACATGCTAACTTCACCAAAAGGCAGAACTTCCACATGGGTCAGCTAACTCTGAGCACAGTTATCCTCATGCCTACTGTATGTACACTGTCCAAGATTAGTGCTCTCACCAGAGCAAAATTCTCTGAAGAGTAATATATTTGGGGCCCAAAGGTAGAGATGAAATAACTTTTTTTCCAAGCCTTTACTTTCATCTGAAATGGGTCTCATTTAGAGAGCATAAGTATGGGTATCGTTCTCATATCAATTCAGCTACCCTGTGTCTTCTGGTTGAAGCAGTTAACTCATTTATATTGTAAGTGATTATTAACTATAGGTATATAGTTATTGGCATTTTTAAATTAATTAACACAGTCCTAGCTAGAGACTTTAGCTTCCCATTGACATCAATGGATAGATCTGCCAGAAAAAAAGTCAATACAAAAAATTGGTCTTCATGTCAAGGGGGGGAAAAAAGGAGACATATGTAATACTTTTTGTAATACTTCAAGAAATAAAAATTATTTTTAAAAAATTGGTCTTAAATTACTCATTAGACAAGATGGATTTGATAAGTTTACAGCAGAGATTATCAAGCAGAGTGTCATCCTGGCAAACTGGTGTGCTGCGAGAATTTTTAGTACAAGAAACACCTGGCTATGTAGTCAATAGCACAAACTACATTACTCATAGAGTGTCGAATAAAATGTGACAAAGGCATGCACAGTAATAGCTGTGTGGTGTGCATGAGTCAAAATCAGACTTTTTTTTGACAGGGTGGCAAAATACATATTTTGGTGGACCTCTGAATTTCAATAATTACTCCATTTGTGCCAAGAGATTAAAACATGTTGAAATCTCTCATTCAGAGCCTTTCACCCCAAAGCAGAATATGCATTCTGGACAAAATGAAGATAGAAGGCCCTCTTAACCTAGAAACAATGTCTGCTTCATCTATTTTCCTAATGACCATGTGAAATACAAATCGTTTGTCTTTTCCATATCAATACATACCCTCAATATTACTCACTACAGTACCAGAAAATGGAACTCTTTTCTAGGTGACATCAAATTCCTATCAATGATCCGGATCCAATAGTTTGTCCTGAACAAAACCATAAAGCCCCTGGTCCAGATAGAGACCTAGAGACAACATAACAGGAGATTCTTATACGTATGAATGCTCCATGGGAATGTCAGGAAGTAGAGTAGAAGGGTACCCAATATCTAGCTTCTTTAATCATTGTGTGATCCTTTGGGTTGGCCCATGCAAAGCATCTGATATTACCAGCTTTACTAATTCACAAGACACTGAAGAAGGAATGAATGTGGCGCTTTCATTTCAATCACTGCTATCCTGCCGTCCCTGGGACTTACAGTCACGGCTAGGAAATCACTGCGGGGACAACTAACGCTTCTATGAATATAACTGTGGACATGCTGTCAATATACAAAATAACTTCTGATGAAAAAAAATTTTTTCAACCTCAAATCTGCCATGGTCTCTGGATTCTCTTGGAAGAATGACCAATATCCAGCAACATTTAAGTAACTGACAATAAAATCTGTTTAACAAGGGCTGAATCCATCCCAAGAAAGAAAGTAATGAGGTAACACTGAGAAATTCTTCTTTTTAAAAATAAATCTTTATTTTTCAGATCATTACAGTTATTCCTCTTTTTTCCCCCCCATAACTCCCCTCTACCCAGTTCCCACCCCACACTCTGCCCTTATCCGCCCCCACTGTCCTCATCCATAGGTGTACAATTTTTGTCCAGTCTCTTCCCCCCGCCCCCCCAACCCTTTCCCCCCGAGAATTGTCAGTCCACTCCCTTTCTATGCCCCTGATTCTATTATATTCACCAGTTTACTATGTTCCTGAGAGTTTTTATCCACTTGATTGTTAGATTCACTTGTTGATAGATATGTAATTATTGTTCATAATTTTTATCTTTACCTTTTTTCTTCTTCCTCTTCTTAAAGAATACCTTTCAGCATGTCATATAATACTGGTTTGGTGGTGATGAACTCCTTTAGTTTTTTCTTATCAGTGAAGCTCTTTATCTGACCTTCAATTCTGAATGATAGCTTTGCTGGGTAAAGTAATCTTGGTTGTAGGTTCTTGGCATTCATCACTTTGAATATTTCTTGCCACTCCCTTCTGGC